TTGCCGCGTTTGTCCACGGATTCCAGAACTTTTCCTGCAATTGTTTCCATTCTTTCCGCAGCTTTTGCCGCATGGTTGCCGCAGCCGCAACGTTTTCCGCAGATTCGGCAGTTTCCGGAACTTTTTCTGCAGCTGTTTCCGCGTCGTTTCCGCACAACTTTTTTCCGCACTGTATCCACAGTTCTTTCTGCATTATCTCCTGCAGTTTCCGCGGCAGGTTCCGCATTGCTTGCCGTAAATTCCACAGCTTTTTCCCAAGTTGTCAAACATTTGCCTTGCCACATGTTGGCACAGTTGCCGTCACGTTTTCTGCACCTGTGTCGCTAGTTTTCGCAATTTTTCCGCATGGTTGATGCCGCTTCTCGGACTGTTTCCGTGCTTTATAGTTGAAAAAGCTGTGGGAAGTGTGGCAAAGCTGCAAACAAGTTCTGGAAACTGTGGAAATGCAGCAGCAAGCTGCGGCAGCATGGGGAAAATGCGGAACGTGGATGCCGTTGCGAACAAAGTTCTGGAAACCCCTGAAAACATGCGCATTAAGTTGCCGAGCAAGTTCCGCAACGTTGCAAACGTTGCAGACAAAGTTGAGGAAACAAACCGGTTGAGGAAACACACCGGAAAAGTTGCTGAACAAGACACCTGCAAATATGCAAAACACACGCAAAAAAAACACATGTGCCAACTGGGCCAGCAACAAATGAACGGTGGAAAACCTGGACTTTGTAGCATGGAACATAGTACCCCGTGTGCTAGGCGGAGTTAGGGGGTAGGGTATTTTTCTTTGTTTTTTTTCTGTTTTTTTTTAAGCAAGAAAGAAAGAAAGACAGAAAGAGAGAAAGAAAGAACGAAAGAAAGAAAGAAAGAAAGGAAGAAAGGAAGAAAGGAAAGCAAGACAGAAAGAAAGAAAGAAAGGAAGAAAGGAAGAAAGAAAGGAAAGAAAGAAAGAAAGGAAAGAAAGACAGAAAGAAAGAAATAACTAAAGAAAGAAAGGCCGAAAGAAAGGAAAGCAAGACAGACATAAAGAAAGAACGAGAGAAAGAAAGAAAGAAAGAAAGAAAGAAAGAGAGAAAGAGAGAAATAAAGAAAGAAGGAAAGAGAGAAAGAATGAAAGAGAGAAAGAAAGAAAGAAAGAAAGAGAGAAAGAAAGACAAGAACGAAAGAAAGAAAGAAAAAAAGAAAGAGAGAGAGAAAGAAAGAAAGAAAGAAAGAACGAAAGAAATAAAGACAGAAAGACAGAAAGAAAGAAAGAAAGAAATAACCCCCCCCCCCCGCTTTGTTTAAGCCGTGCAAGCTTGCCTCAAAGCATATGCCATATGCACACTTTTGCGGAAACCCATCATGCGAGAATCGTCACATTTTCGGAAACCCATCATGCGAGAATTGTGTTTGCAAATGGGGGGGGGTGCGCCCCCCCCAACCCCCCCGCTTTCTCAAGCCGTGCAAGCTTGCCTCAAAGCATATGCCATATGCACACATTTTCGGAAACCCATCATGCGAGAATCGTGTTTGCAAATGGGGGGGGGCTGCGCCCCCCCCAACCCCCCGCTTCCCGCAACACACCCTACACCCTAAACCCTAAGCCGTAGTTCCGGACTGAAGGGGCAATGATACGAGGAGCAACCTTGACCCCGCAAACCGTAGAGCCTAATAAGACCCAAGCCGTCCACCATAAGCCGCAAATCCTGATAGAATGTTTGCGGCCTACATGCGCAGTGAGCCCTAAACCGAAGCAAAGTTTCAGATTGAAGCATCCGAGGTTCCTCTTGAACCAGCCCCGGACGTTAACTAGCTTTTGGGTCCTGTCGGGGCCAACGATGGCCGCCCCGACGCTCCAAGCGCGAGTTGCAAAAGGACGAAGGGTTGGACGTAATGTGTTATTATAGCACGTTGAGATTTGGACCTGTTCCGGACACGCGGTGCCGCTGAGAGGCCATCGGAAGCTGAAAATCAGCAAAATTCACCGAAAAACCAGAAAAATGCACAGAAAAGAATTCCCACCAGAGGAGGACGACAGGCAGAACCAGGAGGGCATGTTCTGAAAACCACAAGAAAAGCAAGAAAAAGCAAGAAAATTCACAAAAAAAAAACCAGAAAAACTGACAAAAAAAAACCTCGCTCCGGAGTTAGGCATAAGGAGAGTCTTCGATTAGATGCCCAGACACCCCCCCCCCCCCCGCCCGAAGCTCAGAGCCTCAGAGCTTTTAAGGCCAGAAGCACGGACATGGTTTCAGAACTAGAGTATGAAAAGGCTTTGGAGGCCTGGGTTGCAGTCAAAAATTCTGAAGCGCTTGATTTGTGAGTGAACCCGAAGCCTAGTGCATGTGTTCATGGTTCATGGTTCATGGTTTAGGGTTTAGGGTTTAGGGTTTAGGGTTTAGGCGGGTTTAGGGTTTAGGGTTTAGGGTTTAGGGTTTAGGGACAAGAGGACTTGGCACGACCACAATAGCCCCGCTGTTCCAAAGGTGCCCGCGAATATGTGGGGGCCCTCGCCCGCTGCCGTGAGCGAGTCCACCAATCTTTCATCAACGCCTTGCCAAGGCGACTCAGGGTTTAGGGTTTAGGGGTTAGGGTTTAAAGTCAGGACTCTTTTGCTTCAGGGCTCCTGTGGTATGGGAGGTGCTCAGCCTTAACGCCATGTTTAGATGTAGCTTGTACTGTGCAGGGGCCAGCAGCATAGGCGTGAGAGCACAAGCTTTTCGGACTAGCATTGTTCTGGCCACCCGCAGATAGGGCTAGTTATAATGAGGAAGCTTAATTGCAATTATACTCTCGCTCAGTCTCGCTCCCTAGCCGAGGGCGGGGGAGGGCTGTTTCTTTTGGTCTTTGTTTATTTTTTTTGGGTTGTTTAGTCGCACTTAGTTCCTGAAGCCCTTGGCCGTCCTTAAAGTCAGACTCAGCGCTGCAAAAAATCACTCCTCTGCCGCAAGCCACTGAACCTTGAGGGCGCTGCAGTATCCACCGGCTGGGTCGTGCCTCCACCTGAAGACTCTTGGGCGTGGGCATTGAGGGGGTGTTGAGAGTATAGGCCGTTTCGGGTTATCCCGAGGCCATCCTCGAAGTTTCAGGTGTGCTACAGTGTATACCCGGGAGGGTTCTTACATTGCCCTTGTAGAAGTGTGCTTGTCTTGGCGGTCGTTTCTAGAATCCGCTTGCGCAAAAAAGGAATGCGTGCTGTGCCCGGGACGACCTGCGGCTGCTGGACTTGGTGGCAAAAGACATCCAGGCAAGCCATGTGCCAATGCTCAAGGTCTTCAATGTGTATGTCTTTGGGATGTTCCCCCTTATAATACTAACTAACATGAATAGGGATGAGAGTACCCCCTTATATGATCCCTATTCAGGACTGCTAGTGTAAGGGTACAAGGACATCCCAATGTTTATCTCTGTGTAGGGGCCCCTGGGGTGCCCATAAGTGGGGGCACACGAACGCCACTTCCCGTACAAGCACTAGCTATGGACATCCACAAGACGAAGATGCGCCCCGTCCCCCCCCCCCGCCCCCCTGTGGTTCGAGGCTTCCGGAATTTTCTGGGCAAATCTCCAAGCTTATTTGCATCCCCTTCACGGGTGAGGAAGTCCATGGGTCCGTGAAAGGTCCCTCGACAGTCCCCAGAGGATTTGGAGGGTCCCAAGTCCCGAGCATGGTTTTTGGGGTTCCTCCCCCTGGGACATGAGAACTGTCCTTTGCCATGGCTGCGGGTGCGCAAATCTGTGGTGGCGGCAAATGGAACAGTGTCCGGATGGCCCATGTTCGATTGCGACTTTCTTCTTCAAGTCGCAATTCCGAGACATCAGCCTCCGATAAGCAAGAATCATATAATTCACACACACCGGTATATACATACATACGTACATACATACATATATATATATACACATGTGCACAAGCTCAGTAAGAGTAAAATAGACACGCTTAAGAATGTATCCACCCATACATAGCTCTTCATCCACGCACTCCCCTAAAAATCCCAAGTGTTGGGTGGAAGCTTCAAAATGTCGATCCCGTGCCGCAGGTGGCAAGCTACAATCGCAGTGGCGACGCCCTTGGATTCCACAGGCCAATCGCAGGGCCCTAACGATGACAGGGGTCCGAACATCAAGGCACAACACTTGCTCACTGTGACGGCCACCACAACCACTTGTGGTGTGCCTCAAAGCTGAGAAGTTGAGCTTACAACCCCTAAATCTTCAAGTTCCTTCACGCCGAAACTCTAAAACACCCACCGGAACAATGGACGCCTTTCGAGGGGGCAGGGGTGTTTGGCTGTTGCATTTCGAACCCACTGTGCGTGGCGGGGTGGATGTCGAGGGCCCTCTTCGAAACTCAAGCAAAGCTCAGTTAAGGACTTCCGGGTTTAGGGTTTAGGGTTTAGGGTTTAGGCGAGGTCCAGAAGCCAAACCGTCTAAGCCAGGAGCAAGAAGCACAAGGTGATCTATGGCGACGCTCTTTCAGAGTCCCAGGCGGGTGACCTTTCAGGGTCTCAAGGGAAGCATTGTCAAGTCTGAAGAGGACCCGGGACAGGTAATTATATGACAAGTGGCTGACTGCATGGTATGGGGTTTTGATAGGAAAGAAGCCTGGACGGTACGAGATAGGAAGGTTTTGGTCAATGCGTGTCCCAAGCGGCATTGGCACCATAATAATGTCACTCAGGATCAAAAAACATGTCTGATCTCGTCGCCTCCCCCCCCCCCCCCCCCCCCCCCCCCCCAACTCCTTTTTTTGAGCCCTGCAAGCTTGCTTCAAAATAGTGCATCGCGCCATCAAGAGGAATTGCACCAGCTGCAAATGGGAGGGGGAAACGCCGCGTGCGCTCTCAAAGTGCTGTAAACCAATTGGCGCACCCGAGCTCATTTCATTGTTGATACCTCAACCTGATTTTGTTGATACCGAAATTGCTTGTGGATCGCAAAACCGTTTGTTGATGCCCTACGGTAGGGAGAACCCGCCCTGAAAGACGAGCGATGCCCTGCATGGGCTTCATGCGCTTCACAATTGTAAAATGCCAGCATGTGCTCTTGAAGTGGAGCTTGCCAGCCGTGCGAAAGCCAAATTTATCATCAACCCCGGAGCTGCTATCAACCCTGGAACCAGCACCTTGCAAAGACAGGCTTTCGTGCGCGTGGTGAAGCATGTCCTTGGCCTGTTCGACCTCACGCTGGTTGACTGCTGGGCAAATCTGTGCCCCGGCGGCTTCTGACAAGCAAAACATGAACTTCATCGGCCTTCAACTACAAAGAGTGCTCGGTTGGGTGCTTGGACTTGCCACTTGAACCAAGTCTGGAAACTCCGAAAGCATTTACCTCATTGAAATTAGGGCCCCAGTAGCCAGGACCTTTGTGAAACGTATCTCTTCTGTGCACGGGCAGGTACCGGGGTGAGGATGACATGAAGTCCATGCACCATGACAATTACCAAGATCGCACTCCGAGAGCCACAGTCACTCGGCCTGATGGTCGAAGGTTCAGGTTTTTTACGGTTTGGTTCTGGGGCTTAGAAGACTCTAGGGCTGGCAGAAGCACGATGACTTCAGTCCGACCTCTTGAGGCTGACCATAACAGCACCTCCCACAAGGCAACTCCCTAAACCCTAAACCCTAACCCCAAACCCTAAACCCTAAACCCTAAACCAAAAACCCTAAACCCTATGTTCTCACCACAGGTCACCATGGGTGTAAGTCTCGGGCAAGCGCGGCATTTCACCTTCCAGAACCCGGTGACCAAAGAAGAGCACAGTGTGGTCCAGGAGGGGCTGGGTTTAGGGTTTAGGGTTTAGGGTTTAGGGTTGAGGGTTTAGGGTTTAGGGTTTAGGGTTTAGGGTTGGCCAGCTGATAGTGCAGAGCCTGGGTTCAACAAAAAAGGGTTCAGGGTTTAGGGTCTAGGGGCTTCATCAAACTTTGACACTCGTAAGCAAGACTTTCTACATATGCACCCAGCGAAACACGGGGTGTTCGTGCAGTGCATGGGAGACGGCTACAGCATTCAGTGGCTCCATGTGTCGGAGGGTTTTCAGGCCTTCTCGCGGGCTGGCACGCTAGAACAATTTAGTTTCACTTGGGTGCAATGGATCCAGTTGGAGTTTAATAAGGCTGGCTGACAGCCCTTTTCATGTTTACATGTTCAAGCCTAGTCCGGTCGAGGCAGAACCCCGTCCCAGACTTATGCAAGGTACAGAGTTTCGGGGCCTTACTTTACAGAGCTCAGGTCATACGGGTAAGTCGTGTTGCAGGAGAATGGTGACATTTTCGCCTTCGACGAGCCCTTCAACAATCTCTTCAAGCATGCAGTTCCGCCCGAGGACGTAGGCGCTACCCGCAGCCACACAATCTTAGGATGTTTGCAATCGTCCCCCCCGAAGTCACAGGTGGGCAGGAGCAGCAGCTATGACCAGGGGCTCGAAATCAAGGGTTTGCAGTTCCTAGAGAGATAGGCTTGGAATTGGCACACATGGTTGTTTTCCAAGCTGCGCCCGTGTGAGGCGAAAAGTCCTTTCAGCCACGGTATACCATCATTTCCCGAGCCTTATTGCCAGGAATTCTGGGGACGCCCAGCCCACACTGCCATACTCCAGCATTTCCAGCATCGTGTAGCATCATGAAGCATCATGTGTCTGGCAGCTCCATAAGGTTGACAGGTGGTTGGTGTGTCGTGTGCTGGACCAGGCACAGCACCCGGCAAGAGAATTGCCATCATCATCTGGGCCAATGAGGAGGAAGCTGGGGATTTTTTTGAAAGTGCAACATGTGCAGCGTGTAGCCAAGTGCCAAGCCAAGGGACCAAGGCAAGATCGGTTCCCGATCGGAGCATCGACGTTTTCAGGCTACGTTCCAGAGGGGACGTCTCGGTGGTTCATGGTTGGGATGTTTAATTAGGGCTGTTTCCGCGGCTGGCGCGGCGAGTTTGGGCCTGTTGGGTTTGGGCGTCAGTGGTTTCAGCTTTGGGGGTTCAGGGTTTCGACCTCCCTGTGCAGGGCTCCGTCCCACGCATGGTTCGTGCCAAGAACCCCGGCTTGCGAGCCTTGGCAACATGTTGGGCTTCCGGCTCGTGGCTTGGGGCTTTGTTTTGCGTCGCCCGTAAAATAAGCATGTACGGCTGCAAAGCCGCAAAACCATATGTATGGTGTCACAAATGTATGGTCAACTGACAAACTGCAGTGACTTAAAGAAGAAGCCACACTTTCATGAGGAACCCGGCTTCAACATGAAACGTACACACGTACATCTTACAGGCATCCAGGCGCATATGTGTGTTGCGTATGGGTCCCCCCATCTGCCGACGGCTCCACTCCTGCATTTCTCCTTTTGTGGTCGAGTGTTTTTGGCTATTGTTCAAGTGTGAGGGCTTCAGCATTTTTCAATTGCGATCGAAGGGCACAACCAGGATGAGTAAGGCGTCCATGTGCCAGGCCACTCTGCAAAGCCCTCGCACCTCCCCATGTTCCCACTGCGGGAATCCGCAGAATATCAAGATAGAGCTAGGAGCCTCACTCGCCTCAGAAGCTGCTGAGCCTCTTCCGCTACGGCAGAGATGTTGTGTGCGTGCTGTCCCGGTTTTCAAAATGCCGCGAACGATTCCTTCTACAACGATAAGGAACGCCGATGAGGTCTGCATGCTTTACATGGTGTCGTACTACTGTGCGCCATATAGCCGTGTGACCAGGACTTTCTTGTTTGCCTTGTCAATATTCCCGGCTGTTCGAACAGTAGTCTCGCAGCTGACACTTATCGCTGGGAGTGGGGAACTACTAGGCTCAAGAGTTCTGTCGATAAGTTATGAGTCGCATAAATCGATGCAGCATAAATCGATGCAGTCCGCACAGTCCCAGTTTAGATTAAGAGTCGGCGTGGGTGTGGCGAACTGTGCACCCAAAGCAGAAGCAAGTTCCACAAGTAAGTTGCAGATGCCTTTCGTCTTCGCAAATTCCGTGCCGCAAGCAGTCGCGCTCAGTTTTTCCCGCATTGTTCTGCAATTGCATGAGCACGCCGTAGATATCCATTGTTTCAAAACACGTGTATATGCAATATGTATATGAATACACAAATATCTAAATAGTTTGAAAAGTTGTGATTGTACATACGTATGTACTTATATATGTACATATACTTCTTAATACAACGATATTTGTCTATTTGTATCTATAGATTAGATTTATGTGTTTAGAAAATGTTGAGATTTTGATATGTATAGATAAATACTGCATAATTGAACATATAAGTATGAAAATTCTCATGTGTATATATATATATATACACACATACATGCGCTGGTGGGGTCCTGTGGCTAAGGGCCATAGCGATTGATGCTCGTGATGTGCGCCTGGTGGGGTCCTGTGGCTAAGGGCCATGGCGGCTGATGCTCGTGATGCGCGCCTGGTGGGGTCCTGTGGCTAAGGGCCATGGCGGCTGATGCTCGTGATGCGCGCCTGGTGGGGTTTTAGGGCTAAAGGCCATGGCGGCTGATGCTCGTGATGCGCGCCTGGTGGCGTCCTGTGGCGCCTGATGCTGGTCCTGTGGCTAAGGGTCATGGCGGCTGATGCTCGTGATGCGCGCCTGGTGGGGTTCCTGTGGCGAAGGGCCATGGCGGCTGATGCTCGTGAAGCTCGCCTGGTGGGGTCCTGCGGCTAAGGGCCATGGCTGATGCTGGCGGCTGATGCTCGTGATGCATGCTCGTGATGCATGCTCGTGATGTGCGCGGCTAAGGCGGCTGATGCTCGTGATGCGCGCCTGGTGGGGTCCTGTGGCTAAGGGCCATGGCGGCTGATGCTCGTGATGCACGCCTGGTGGGGTACTAGGGCGAAGGGCCGTGGCGGCTGATGCTCGTGATGCGCGCCTGGTGGGGTGCTGTGGCTAAGGGCCATGGCGCTGATGCTCGTGATGTGCGCCATGGCGGCTGATGCTCGTGATGCGCGTCTGGTGGGGTCCTGTGGCTAAGGGCCTGCTCGTGATGCACGCCTGGTGGGGTGCTGTGGCTAAGGGCCATGGCGCTGATGCTCGTGATGCGCGCCTGGTGGGGTCCCATGGCGGCTGATGCTCGTGATGCGCGTCTGGTGGGGTCCTGTGGCCAAGGGCCATGGGCTGATGCTCGTGATGCGCGCCTGGTGGGGTTTTAGGGCTAAGGGCCATGGCAGTTGATGCTCGCGATGCGCGCCTGGTGCGGTCCTGTAGCTAAGGGCCATGGCGGCTGATGCTCGTGATGCGCGCCTGGTGGGGTCCTGTGACTAAGGGCCATGGCGGCTGATGCTCGTGATGCGCGCCTGGTGGGGTCCTGTGATTAAGGGCCATGGCGGCTGATGCTCGTGATGCGCGCCTGGTGGGGTCCTGTGGCAAAGGGCCATGGCGCTGATGCTCGTGACGCGCGCCTGGTGGGGTCCTAGGGCTAAGGGCCATGGCGGCTGATGCTCATGATGCGCGCCTGGTGGGTGTGGCTAAGGGCCATGGCGCTGATGCTCGTGATGCGCGCCTGGTGGGATTTTAGGGCTAAGGGCCATGGCGGCTGATGCTCGTGATGCGCGCCTGGTGGGGTCCTAGGGCTAAGGGCCATGGCGGCTGATGCTCGTGATGCGCGCCTGGTGGGGTGCTAGGGCTAAGGGCCATGGCGGCTGATGCTCGTGATGCGCGCCTCGTGGGTGTGGCTGCTAAGGGCCATGGCGCTGATGCTCGTGCTGCGCGCCTGGTGTGTTCCTAGGGCTGAGGGCCATGGCGGCTGATGCTCGTGATGCCCGCCTGGTGGGGTCCTAGGGCTAAGGGCCGTGGCGGCTGATGCTCGTGATGCGCGCTGGTGGGTGTGGCTAAGGGCCATGGCGCTGATGCTCGTGATGCGCGCCTGGTGGGGTTTTAGGGCTAAGGGCCATGGCGGCTGATGCTCGTGATGCGCGCCTGGTGGGGTCCTAGGCTAAGGGCCATGGCGGCTGATGCTCGTGATGCGCGCCTGGTGGGGTCCTAGGGCTAAGGGCCATGGCGGCTGATGCTCGTGATGCGCGCCTGGTGGGTGTGGCTGAGGGCCATGGCGCTGATGCTCGTGATGCGCGCCTGGTGGGGTTTTAGGGCTAAGGGCCATGGCGGCTGATGCTCGTGATGCGCGCCTGGTGGGTGGGCTAAGGGCCATGGCGGCTGATGCTCGTGATGCGCGCATAAGGGCCATGGCTGATGCTTCGTGCGCGCCGCGCCTGTGGCTAAGGGCCATGGCGCTGATGCTCGTGATGCGCGCCTGGTGGGGTTTTAGGGCTAAGGGCCATGGCGGCTGATGCTCGTGATGCGCGCCTGGTGGGATCCTGGGGCTAAGGGCCATGGCGCTGATGCTCGTGATGCGCGCTTGGTGGGGTCCTAGGGTTAAGGGCCATGGCGGCTGATGCTCGTGATGCGCGCCTGGTGTGATCCTAGGGCTGATGAGGGCCATGGCGGCTGATGCTCGTGATGCGCGCCTGGTGGGGTCCTAGGGCTAAGGGCCGAGGCGGCTGATGCTCGTGATGCACGCCTGGTGGGTGTGGCGAAGCGCCATGGCGCTGATGTTCGTGATGCGCGCCTGGTGGGGTTTCAGGGCTAAGGGCCATGGCGGCTGATGCTCGTGATGCGCGCCTGGTGGGGGCTAAGGGCCGATGCTCGTGATGCGCGCCTGCGCCTGGTGGGGTCCTAGGGCTAAGGGCCATGGCGCTGATGCTCGTGATGCGCGCTTGGTGGGGTCCTAGGGCCAAGGGCCATGGCGGCTGATGCTTGTGATGCGCGCCTGGTGTGATCCTAGGGCTGAGGGCCATGGCGGCTGATGCTCGTGATGCGCGCCTGGTGGGGTTTTAGGGCTAAGGCCCATGGCGGCTGATGCTCGTGATGCGCGCCTGGTGGGTGTGGCTAAGGGCCATGGCGCTGATGCTCGTGATGCGCGCCTGGTGGGGTTTTAGGGCTAAGGGCCATGGCGGCTGATGCTCGTGATGCGCGCCTGGTGGGGTGCTAGGGCTAAGGGCCATGGCGGCTGATGCTCGTGATGCGCGCCTGGTGGGGTTTTAGGGCTAAGGGCCATGGCGGCTGATGCTCGTGATGCGCGCCTGGTGGGTGTGGCTAAGGGCCATGGCGCTGATGCTCGTGATGCGCGCCTGGTGGGGTTTTAGGGCTAAGGGCCATGGTGGCTGATGCTCGTGATCCGCGCCTGTTGGGGTCCTAGGGCTAAGGGCTAAGGGCCATGGCGGCTGATGCTCGTGATGCGCGCCTGGTGGGGTTTTAGGGCTAAGGGCCATGGTGGCTGATGCTCGTGATCCGCGCCTGTTGGGGTCCTAGGGCTAAGGGCCATGGCGGCTGATGCTCGTGATGCGCGCCTGGTGGGTTTGGCTGAGGGCCATGGCGGCTTATGCTCGTGATGCGCGCCTGGTGGGGTCCTAGGGCTAAGGGCCATGGCGGCTGATGCTCGTGGCTGAGGGCCATGACGCTGATGCTCGTGATGCGCGCCTGGTGGGGTTTTAGGGCTAAAGGCCATGGCGGCTGATGCTCGTGATGCGCGCCTGGTGGGTGTGGCTGAGGGCCATGGCGCTGATCCTCGTGATTGGCGCCTGGTGGGGTTTTAGGGCTAAGGGCCATGGCGGCTGATGCTCGTGATGCGCGCCTGGTGGGGTCCTAGGGCTAAGGGCCATGGCGGCTGATGCTCGTGATGCGCGCCTGGTGTGATCCTAGGGCTGAGGGCCATGGCGGCTGATGCTCGTGATGCGCGCCTGGTGGGGTCCTAGGGCTAAGGGCCATGGCGGCTGATGCTCGTGATGCGCGCCTGGTGGGTGTGGCTGAGGGCCATGGCGCTGATGCTCGTGATGCGCGCCTGGTGGGATTTTAGGGCTAAGGGCCATGGCGGCTGATGCTCGTCATGCGCGCCTGGTGGGTGTGGCTATGGGCC